GCGGCAAATGTAAGAAAAGTGTAAGAAAAAAAAAAGTCCCAAAAAAGGCGTAAGATTATACTTGAACAGCCCCTTATTCAGTCCTTCAATACTTGCACATTTCAAAAATATAATGCCACATCAGTAAATGTTGAAAGAGGATGTTTCTAGGGTAGTAGACTTTCTAGGGGTCAAATTCATTATAGGGACAAAACAATTCCAACTTCAAGGCATTTGTTTTCCTCAAGGAATAGGTTTAGGCTCTTTCTTGGAGAGTTGAAAACACCACAAAGAGGGAAAAATAAAAGAGGAACAGCAACACAAATCGTATGTAACTGTAACGTATTCAACAAATCAATGTGGTGACAACAAGTGATGACAACAAGTGAGAAAGAGACGAAGTGAAGCTAAGTGAACTTTCTTTCAAAAGTAAAGAGGTTCGGTTTCTTTTTTAAATATTTTTTTAATTTGACTTTTATTCCCCGATTCGGAGACCAAAAAATGCCAAAAAAAACGAGCCACGATTGATTGGTTGCGGCCGCGACAAACGCGCTAGTTCTATGTGTCGTTATCAATAACCCTCCATAGATCTAGATCTAGACAGCACACGAGTGAACACAATTAACACATTAAGTTTAAGAGCAGCACCCTTTATAGTATAATCATAGGCAGCATGTCATATCTGTAGCGAAAAACTGTTTAGAACTGTAGCATTTCTTTATAAAAAATAAATAATTACTGTGGATATTTTTTGGACGGATTGAACCATATTGTATACAAACAATCTTCGGTTGTCCTATAATATAATTATAGATCTATATCCGAAATTTGCGAGAAAGGATGTGATTTCAGAGTGTTCGGAGAAATAGTGCCCTGCTTTATTTTCCAGAACGTTCTGAGAAATAGTGCCCAGCTTTATTTTTCCGATCGTTCGGAGAAATACTGCCCAGCTTTATTTTTCCGATCGTTCGGAGAAATAGTGCCGGCCTATTTTTAATGCATGATGCTTTTTCGTTTTTACAAATCTGCATTTTCTCAAAGAACGTGTGTTTGACGGCAAGGTTTTGTTTGCACTTTCCATTTGATCTTAGTCTTAGTTTTTTAAAAAGAAAAAGAAAAAAAAATAGGATGGCTTCAGGCTGAAAGCAAAAGAAATCATGTATTTGACTTACTTGTAGTAGTTCCTGATTGTGTATCCAGATGTTGAGGCCTTCTTCACTCTGACCTTGATGGTACAGTTGTTGATGTCTTGGAATTCTGAGATCCAGTCTTCCACCCATTCATCAAAACTAAGATCTGTGTGTTCACTAATTTGTGTCGAGGCAGATAGGTTAAACGAGTCATCTCCTGTGCAACTGAATGTTAAAATCTTAGGAAAAACATTAGTTTTGATACACTCAATCAGAGGAGTCGTCTTGATTCTTAAGACATGGAAGTGTTATACAGACTCTAGATCTATATATATAGATCTAGATCTAATGTAATAATTACAGTCAATAGAATCTAGAAACGGACGCTAAGCCCTAGCCTAATGTCTAACAAACAGGATTCACATTGCCATCAATGGTAGAAAATTAAATTAGATCTAGAACTAGAATCTAGATCGAAACCTGAGTTATCCAAAATTACACCCAATCCGATGCTAGCGCTAGCCTTTGTTAACATTATAAAAATTTATACGTATATATTATAGATCTATGTTAGATCTAGGCCTAAAGACGACCACAAATCGTACAGGGCAGATTTTTCCTTTTTTTTAAAATTGCATGGCGACATCTTCAAGAATACAAAGGCCAAGGCTTGTAAGGCTTCATTTTGTTGATGTCTTGGAATTCTGAGATCCAGTCTTCCACCCATTCATCACAACTAAGATCTGCATGTTCACTAATTAGTCTAATTTGTGTCGAGGCAGATAGAGGTTAAACGAGTCACAAAGTTTAGATCTAAGTACATGTAGATCTAAATCTAGATTTAGATCTAGATCTAGTTAAAAAATCTAACACATTTTTCTATATAAGAGATCATGTTTAGTCATCTAATCATCTAGATCTAGATCTAAGTATGGAATAAAACGAACACAGGTTCAAGATTGCCAGAATTTAGGTCTCATCCATACGTGATAAGATGCAATTTATACAGGGTCTAAACACAAATTATTTTGAACCAGCATTCATTTTGTCAATCCAAAACAAGCATACATGCATGAACGATCTAGATTAATTCTTGGGCCTAGAACCTAGAAAAATCTAGACTACTAAAATACTATCTAAGCCTTATATTATATATCATTCCTCTTGTTGACTCTTACCTGATATGCACAGTCTGGTACTGGTAACCGGTCTTTTGATACTGCTACTGCCTCATCTGTTAAACTACAAGTAGAAGTAGCAGCTTGTTCTTTTTCTTGCTCCAATTTGTGGATGGCAGAACGCATCAACTCATCTATATCCATTCTTTCTGCAAAAGGCCTCAGGCAAGACTAAATAATCTAGTGAAGGCCTAGCAGCATCTTCGATCATGAGACCAAGCTTGTGACACTGGTCCACGGGTAGACTAGTCATGGGATGCCATTTTGTCGAAAAATAGCAACGGAAATCCCAATCTTGAGGATCAAGGTCGCTCGTAAAGTGGCTGAGGATTCTTGAGGTGGCTGCGGGTTGACGAAACGGAAAAGCGCCCCGCCGTCCGTCCCCGACCTCCTATTACTTATGTACACAGCAATCACTACTGTGCTATGGTTATATAGTTTTCTGTTCTTCATG